GAAGGACGCCTTGGCACGTTGCAAATCCATGACGGCGGCTGCAGCTTGAATGCTCTTGTTGTTTTCTTTCATGTATTCGAACTTCTCACGTTTCAGCTGAGTCGTTTCATTCTGCGCAACCATATACATGGACGAGAAGTCCTTTCGAGGGGGCAGGCGCTTCTCCGGCGTTGGGAACTTACGTGGGACGACTTTGGATTTTCCTTTGCCCTTGCCTGTGTGACGTGCTGCAATTTCGTGGTCAAGTGGGGCGTCGGCTTGCCGCCCAGGATCGGCAGCATGGTTCTATACCCAATACTCGTCGGCGTCTGGGTCGTCGTTGGGATTGCCCGATGTTGTTAAGTCGCGTTGGTCCTTAGAGTAGTCGTGGTCATCGAGGTCGTCGTCGCTGCCAATTGCATCATAAAGAAACGACTTGTCGCATTGTTTGCTCTCATCATTTGTATCTAAATTGCTCCATCGAAATTAACTATATATATACAAATATATATTTGAGATGTATATATTTACCGCGAAGACTAGTCTCAAAAATGTAAGATGGACGAAAATTTTGTCGCCCCCCAAACAGAGCGTCCATCTCGTTGTAGTACGGGCAAATGCTCTTCAATTTACTTTCAATTGTAAAGATTTCTACCGAAGAGTGAGATATTTGATAATTGATAGTTGATAACATGTACGCTATATACTTTTCTTGGTGTCCAAGTCAGTCAGGCCACGGCCGCTGTTGCTTGGCCCAGACCATTTGAGAGCTCGTCGGTACGATGCAACATATGCGTCATATCTACTTGTCGATTGATAGTTTTAATGATTATGAATATATATACGGATTCTATACCTCGATTTTGCGTGCTGAGCTGACCATGGCCGCGCACTGTCACGAGCAACCTCGTTGACGTACTCCGCTACTCTTTGAAGGCCGTGTGCTCGTGTCAGTTTCTGCCCTCCTTTCATTTGTCTTGCTCTTGTTCGCTTGCCCTGTCGAACAAAGTTCTCTGGTATACGGAGAAATACAAGCATTGCCAAACGCTCCGACTTTATCGTTGCTTCTCGCTTCGCCTTCTCCATGCTCGCTTCTAAAAACTGACTTGCTCCAGTACTTTCCACTGGACTGATTGGTTGTTTCTATTAATTATTTGATTGGCTTGTTCACAGGTTCAAGTTGCTTTTGCTTTTCGTGTTGAAAAGCAAAATTTGAAAAGCAAGATGATTTATGTATTAACTCTCCCTATTGCAATTGACCATTTGACATACCAGAAAGTGCAAGGTATGTAAATTTTAACCGTTTCCCGCAGCCTCCTGGGAATCGACAAATTGAAAGAGGATTGGGATTACTTTATTGGAGAGCCCAACATTTAATGTGTTGGGATTGGCTGAACGACAAGATTATTGAATTTCGATCGGTGATTGGACGATACATTAGTCGGTAAAGAACATACCTTGTACATTAAACATGTACAGCCACCGATTGGTCGTGAGAGGCCGGATATAGATTCGATTGGCTAAAAATATACTGTCGTTACATATTTGAGTGAACAATATCCTCATTCAGCAACATAAGCGCCTCCGCAGTACCGTCCAAGGCCACGATCCAAGGATCCTTCAGATCCAAGTCCACCCTTCGCACGTATCGAACGTACCAGAAACAGTTTGCTGAATACTGCAAACAGCTCCCAGGGGTCGAGCCAGAGGCGGCGACGCCGAGTGCACAGACTTTTTCCATCATCTGTACAGTCAGGGAATGCGGCCCGTACAGTCGATTCGGCGAAGACAGCCCTCGTGGCCTTCTTCCACGACCTCAAGGTCATCCCCAACCCTGCTCGTGATGTCGAATCAAAGCAATATGTCGTCGGCCTGCAAAAGTACAACAACAACAAAAAACAACATTGACGACGAGAACAAGGCCCACCCACTGTCGATGCATGAGCTCTCGTGCCTGGTAAATTCGTTTTCTACCTCCCACCTCTTTTTGGGTGCATTGTATAGATTTTTGTTTTCTGCAAGTGATCTTGGATATTTTCGTATTAGTGAAATGCTTAACCTTACTTGGGATGACATTTCTTTGATGCACGACGGGGAGAGTCAGTATGTATCTAATCGATTGAGATGGCACAAGAAGGCCAGTGTTCAAAGTGATTATCTATCATTTGGTGGACGAAAAGGCATTTCCCTGCCTCCGCGTGTGTGACTTGTTTTCCGACTATGTTAATGTCGTCGAGCGTACAAGCCCCAACCTGGCGTCTAAGTCCTTCGTGTTCCCTGCCCACACGATGTAGTAAAATGGTGTGAACTGGTTCAAGACACTCGATCAAAATCAAGTACGATTGTACTTGAAAGATGCTGTTCGGAAGAACTCCGAGCTACCAATAGGTGAATTTGTCTTGTTCATATTAATATGCAATTTGTATTTGATTTTGTAATGACTATTTATTTGTTGTATAATTATTTCATCTTTATTAATTTTGCATTGATCGGAAACTGTAGGAATTACGCTGCATAGCATGCACCGTGGAGGAAGCTTTTTGAGCCTGTTCCGACTAAAACATGGAATGGAGCATAGCCTATCAAAATACGTTCCACATCATTCTTGAACCAAATTTATGAGCCGACCTAACCAGGGTCATTCTAGTGGCGGACAGGGTAAGTAGGTTATGATTGGTCAAAGTAAGAAACACTAGTATCCAATCAGTATCAATTCCTACTTCGCTTTCAAATGGACGAGGGGACTGTCTTGTGTGCCGCAGTACTCACCTCCGTGACAGCAGTTCTTACCTCCATGGATGGCCGCAGCTACCGTGCACCCATAGACAACAACTATGTTGTGCCGAGTAACACGTGGTTGCTTGTAAAGTCCACACCCTCGCTCAATGCATGGTTCTTGCGTCACCTGCGATGTTCTCGCTTCACCTACCTTCGCATTGTGGAACATGTTCAAACAGCGTGGCAACGGATTCACCCTGCGCTCCACCAACTCTCGGGTCAGCGCAAGGCTCGCCACAGGGCCAAACGCAGCTAAGCACTGTTTGTTCCCTTAGAGGCCTTTGACGATGGCATCACCCAAGGCTTACATGCTCATGGCATTCAAACTTGTTTCGTGGTTTGCAGCATTGACCCGCAAGGGATTGCGCGGGTCAATTTCATTTGAAATGTTCCTTGTAGTGAGATATTCGCAGCATGTCTTTGCATCTTTCCAACGACACCACGCCATAAGCTCTCGATAATTAAAGCGGCGCTCGGGGGATTGGAACACACGTTAAGAGATTGTTCCGACCAACTCGATAAGAATGACTACGAATAGACCAAATAATTCACACCATTCGCTATATCGTTCACGTCCACCAGTAATAACAATATTCCGTCTTATTGGTCAAAATTGCACCTAATCATACCACAGATAATGAACCGTGAACCTGCTCCTTCGTGATTACCATCATGATTCCGAAGCCAACGGTAAAGATGACCAAAGCGCAGCTCGTCGAGCAAGTACAGCTCCTGCAACATCACCTACGGCGTACCTCATCTCAAGTGGATGGAGCCATCAATTCCCCTTCGCAGGGAACGACTACGATTGGTTCGTCGATGGCGTCAACAATACAGACCACACAAGCGAGTCCCCAGTCACGAACACCCAGGCCATGATAACGGCACTTCTGGAACTGTGAATCACTTCTTTTCGAGCGGCATTCTATGCTGATCTGTCCAGCAAGCAACTTCATGTGCTCTGGGAGAAGTTGGCTCTACGATTCAACATTGTCATTGAACAACCACGCAGGGTACGACAAATACCGTACAATATATCATAATATTTAAGTGCCACTATCTCCAGACTCTCTGAAGAACAAGCTACGAAAGTTACGGACGGAGTTTGTGGCAATCCAGCGTAGCTTGACAGCAACCGGTAACGACGAGCAGGCGACCCCTGCGAAGCCAGGCTACTACGCGGACATTTTGGTTGTGTTCGCGGACCTACATGGGCTTGGGGACATTGAGTTTGGCATGGAGCGTGCTGCAAATGCGAGCCTCAGTGAAGATAATCAAGGTATGGATACTCGTGTGATCGGTGAGTCCGTTTCAACGAGCTCCGTGTGTGTGTCAGCCTTCCGCCAAGCGGAAGGCTGAGATCGACATGGAGATTCAACGCCAACGTCAAGTCCGGGGGAAGAAACAACAGCCTGGTCTTGCGGTAGGTCTCAGCAAACTTGGACAAGCACTTGCAAGCGAGCTCATTGAGGATGCCAAGCTGAAGAGTTCACATAACTCTGGGGTAGACATGGCAAACCAAATGGCTAAGATGATTGATCTTATGCAGGAAACCAAAGCTAGTATTGACAAAACCAATTAAGTCAACGACAAGATGCTCCAGTTCCTCCAGAGTTGATTCTAAGTAATACATCAATTTATGATTTGAGTTAAAATTTGGAGAATTTGAGTTGGTGTATTGTAGACTTCAACCTTGATTAGTAGTTTGATGCGAACGATATGTAATACAGTAGTACCTGAATTAAGCATAAGTATATATTAAAATTACTGTCCGTAGATGTAAGGGGACACAATGATACGGGGATACGGAGGGATACGGCGATACGGCGACACGGATGGATATGGGGAGGATACTGCGATACGGCGATACCGAGGAATATGGGGGAGGTACGGCGATACGGCGATATGGCGATACGGCGACACTGAGGGAACGGGGAGATAAGGGGATATGGAATGTTCATGAATAAAGTACACATATTTGTGTACATATATTAATACAATTTATACATCAACATGCTGGCTTAAGTACAACTTGATCAAATCCCGGGCGCGTTTAGCAGATACACCATCGACTTGGTTGAGCTCGTCGTCAAACACGGTGTCACCCCCAATGTGCATCCACTCGGGGAAGGTCTCGGGTTCACCTGGACCCGGTCCTCACCATTATATTCAATGAACCAGTTATGAAGTACCAAAGTAACTTCAATCATCCGGGCCATGTCACTTGGTCGATGTTGGAGTAATTCGGTTTGGAACACCCGAAATTTGTTCTTCCAGAGTCCAAATGCCCGCACCACGACCATGCGACTGCGACTGTGTATAGTGTTATAGTGAGCTTCTTCTTGGGGCATATCGGCGTAAATTGTGTAAGGAGTCATGAGGTGTGAATAGAGCTTGTAACCAGCATCACCCAGGAAGCAACCACCCGCGGGGACTCGACGGTGGCATGATTATCCAAACGCCGGGTGATTAAAAAGGGCTTTGTCGTTTTGACTCCCCGAGCGCAATGAGTACGAAATGAACTTCATCCGATGATCCACGACAGCCTGCGTATTGAACACTGTAAAACCCTTGTGAAGGCTTCGAATCGTTTGACTGAAATCAAACTGCCGTCGACTGCACCGTACGCATTCGGAAACCCATGCCGTTCGAACCCTTGCCTGATCAGTTCCCATTGATCGCCCGACGTAGGTAATGCAATGGTCTCCAACACGAAACAAAGTTGCACGACACCATGCACTTGATTACAGTACTCGTAAGCTCGCGTCTTTGAGATACCGAACAAGGCTGCAGTTGACTCGTAGCCGTCAGAGTGTGTCAGGTAGTGGAGTGTGCACGCCACACGATCATCAATTCCAAACTGTTTGAGTTGGTGGAGCGCAGGGTGAATCCGTTGCCACGCTGTTTGAACATGTTCCACAATGCGAAGGTAGGTGAAGCGAGAACATCGCAGGTGACGCAAGAACCATGCATTGAGCGAGGGTGTGGACTTTACAAGCAACCACGTGTTACTCGGCACAACATAGTTGTTGTCTATGGGTGCACGGTAGCTGCGGCCATCCATGGAGGTAAGAACTGCTGTCACGGAGGTGAGTACTGCGGCACACAAGACAGTCCCCTCGTCCATTTGAAAGCGAAGTAGGAATTGATACTGATTGGCTACTAGTGTTTCTTACTTTGACCAATCATAACCTACTTACCCTGTCCGCCACTAGAATGACCCTGGTTAGGTCGGCTCATAAATTTGGTTCAAGAATGATGTGGAACGTATTTTGATAGGCTATGCTCCATTCCATGTTTTAGTCGGAACAGGCTCAAAAAGCTTCCTCCACGGTGCATGCTATGCAGCGTAATTCCTACAGTTTCCGATCAATGCAAAATTAATAAAGATGAAATAATTATACAACAAATAAATAGTCATTACAAAATCAAATACAAATTGCATATTAATATGAACAAGACAAATTCACCTATTGGTAGCTCGGAGTTCTTCCGAACAGCATCTTTCAAGTACAATCGTACTTGATTTTGATCGAGTGTCTTGAACCAGTTCACACCATTTTACTACATCGTGTGGGCAGGGAACACGAAGGACTTAGACGCCAGGTTGGGGCTTGTACGCTCGACGACATTAACATAGTCGGAAAACAAGTCACACACGCGGAGGCAGGGAAATTCCTTTTCGTCCACCAAATGATAGATAATCACTTTGAACACTGGCCTTCTTGTGCCATCTCAATCGATTAGATACATACTGACTCTCCCCGTCGTGCATCAAAGAAATGTCATCCCAAGTAAGGTTAAGCATTTCACTAATACGAAAATATCCAAGATCACTTGCAGAAAACAAAAATCTATACAATGCACCCAAAAAGAGGTGGGAGGTAGAAAACGAATTTACCAGGCACGAGAGCTCATGCATCGACAGTGGGTGGGCCTTGTTCTCGTCGTCAATGTTGTTTTTTGTTGTTGTTGTACTTTTGCAGGCCGACGACATATTGCTTTGATTCGACATCACGAGCAGGGTTGGGGATGACCTTGAGGTCGTGGAAGAAGGCCACGAGGGCTGTCTTCGCCGAATCGACTGTACGGGCCGCATTCCCTGACTGTACAGATGATGGAAAAAGTCTGTGCACTCGGCGTCGCCGCCTCTGGCTCGACCCCTGGGAGCTGTTTGCAGTATTCAGCAAACTGTTTCTGGTACGTTCGATACGTGCGAAGGGTGGACTTGGATCTGAAGGATCCTTGGATCGTGGCCTTGGACGGTACTGCGGAGGCGCTTATGTTGCTGAATGAGGATATTGTTCACTCAAATATGTAACGACAGTATATTTTTAGCCAATCGAATCTATATCCGGCCTCTCACGACCAATCGGTGGCTGTACATGTTTAATGTACAAGGTATGTTCTTTACCGACTAATGTATCGTCCAATCACCGATCGAAATTCAATAATCTTGTCGTTCAGCCAATCCCAACACATTAAATGTTGGGCTCTCCAATAAAGTAATCCCAATCCTCTTTCAATTTGTCGATTCCCAGGAGGCTGCGGGAAACGGTTAAAATTTACATACCTTGCACTTTCTGGTATGTCAAATGGTCAATTGCAATAGGGAGAGTTAATACATAAATCATCTTGCTTTTCAAATTTTGCTTTTCAACACGAAAAGCAAAAGCAACTTGAACCTGTGAACAAGCCAATCAAATAATTAATAGAAACAACCAATCAGTCCAGTGGAAAGTACTGGAGCAAGTCAGTTTTTAGAAGCGAGCATGGAGAAGGCGAAGCGAGAAGCAACGATAAAGTCGGAGCGTTTGGCAATGCTTGTATTTCTCCGTATACCAGAGAACTTTGTTCGACAGGGCAAGCGAACAAGAGCAAGACAAATGAAAGGAGGGCAGAAACTGACACGAGCACACGGCCTTCAAAGAGTAGCGGAGTACGTCAACGAGGTTGCTCGTGACAGTGCGCGGCCATGGTCAGCTCAGCACGCAAAATCGAGGTATAGAATCCGTATATATATTCATAATCATTAAAACTATCAATCGACAAGTAGATATGACGCATATGTTGCATCGTACCGACGAGCTCTCAAATGGTCTGGGCCAAGCAACAGCGG